TGACATACCGTCTTCGCTCAGAATCGTTTTTCTTATACAATGATATTATATCATTGAATTCAAATTTAATAGCATCTATTATACAGTGACCCACTACTGTACAGCAGAGCGACATCCACTTACCCACCTTTTTTTTTTTTTAATTTTTTTGTTTTCACACTTTTAACGTACCAATGTAGTCAAGCATGCTGAAAACGATGGTGAAGTCAGAATTTGGTGGTCGGACTTAGTTTTGAAGTTTTAGCTATTTGAAGTCTGAGACCCATCAAAGGTGCACCATGGTTTTACATATAAGTCGACAGATGTTTTTGATGTTTATTGTTCGAGCGAGCAGTGACCACTCCACGTGTATATAAAAATACTACCTATATATTTCAATTAGCTATATGTGTATTATATAGCTGTATCATCGAAGTCCGACTTCCAAATTCTGACTTCACCATCGTTTTCGAATGCTTAACTATAACATAGGTACGATAAAACAAGATAGGTAGTCATATATTAGATATACTGATATTACTATGTGTAAAAATTAATATTTTGAAATTTGTTTGTTTTATTTTAGATTCTGAGTGGAACGATGAATCATGAATGTATTATTGATTTTACAATGATGTGTGTTTTTATATATTTTTTTTTAATTTTTAATTTTTTTAATTTTTGTGTCTGTGTACACAATAAGTAGTCGAAATAATGCTTCGATTATCAACTTCAGTATCTTGTTCGATTCGAAAGTGAATATCATTGGTGCTTTGGGGAGGTCAAAATTTAAAATTCACAGTCATTTTTAAAAGCGCCAAGAAAAACAAAAGAAAAATTAAGGAAAAACGGGAATTTTTACACAAAATTGAATTTGGTTTTTCGTGTAACTTTAAAACAAATTAACGTAGATACGTACATGCAATTTTCACTGGTTGTTTATATTTGCATTTTCTATACACGATAACATTTTCAAAATATTTTGATTTATTTTGAACTGTTTAGAGACATTTTCATTTTCCATTTTTTTTTTAGTTTTTTTTTTTCTAAAAATATCAATAAAATTTTATTTGTTGATTAAAAAAGCTTGAAAATGTAATAGAAGGCTCCAAGTATATTGTTTCAAAGGCAGATGAAATATTATATTATTAAAAATCCTTAGTCACAGTTTTTTTTTATAAGCAATTTAAGTTCAAAAATTGACAAAATATTGAAAAATCACGAAAATTATCAAATTATTTTGAATGAAGATTTCGTAAAAATTTTTCTTTTTAAATCTAAGATTTTAAAATTGAGTTCAAGATTCCTTATAAGATTATCTACCTTTATCAACCAAAAATATTTCTATAAGAAAGTCAAATCAAATTTTTATGAGCGTTTGAAATTCAAATTTTTACAACATTGGATATTCACTCGATTTCTCATGTAGCGATTTCCTTATTTTGTTGTAATTCAAAAACGAATAACTGTAGATACATGGAAATTTCAGTAAATATTTATATTAGCATTCACTATACCCCTTACAGTTTTGAAAATATTTTGACTCTTTTTGGGCTGTTTACGGACATTTTCAGTTTTCAATTTTTTTAGTTTTTTTTTCTATACATATATCAATAAAGTTTTATCTGTTGGGCCAAAAAGAGTAAAAATTTAATAGAAGGCTCCTGATATATTCTTACAATAGCAATTGAAAAATATTAAAATTACATAGGCACAGTTTTGTAAATGTTGATGTGTGGGAGCCCGGAGGTAGTATACCTGTGTAGTGTTTGTTTTGTTGGTTTTTCTTTTTAGTGCACAAGAAATTGTCACGCAATTTGATACTGAGTGGAGCGACATAATGATAATAATATATTATACTTTTATATATTTTATTTTGTCCTGAAGACATTTTCTCTAGTAGGAAGATTCGATTTTTAACTTCGAAGATAGTTACAAAAAACCAATTGCATCTAGTTGGTACTTTTAAAAGTGTCCCGTACTTATAATCTGGACGGAATTCGTGAAAATCGCAAATTATTTTGTCAGCATCATATTCGCTCTAAATAGTTTTTCATCGTAATTCGTAAACAGTTAAAATCCAATTTAAATAAATTAATACATCTATTTTATAATTATTATAAATAACTAGAGATGATAAGCGAATACAAAACTGTATGAATTTGTTAGTTATCCAAATTATTCAAGTTTTTCAAGTTCGTCAAATCAAAATTTTAAGCACACATTAGTTACATTGATTATATACTATAATGTCAATGGTAGTAGTAGTTAATCTACCTATTGGATTTTATTTGTATTTATTTATATATTATATGACAAATTTGTTCCCTCGGTGATTTCCGTGACTTTTAATATTGGTGTACAAATTATTAATTTCTATCGTAATTAGTAATATTAGTTAAAATATTAGTTTTCTATAATGTAACAGAATGTAACAGGAACGTATGCTATGATTGATCGTGATGGCCGTTCAGCTAGTAGCTACAACAGCGAGTCGTTGGAACAGCCGCCGAAACTGAAGAAAAGTAACGATTAGAATATGATTTCCTGGTACTCCGATGTCACATTTTTCGATTTTAGTTCGTTTTAGTAGCGTATTTACCACGATGTACATCTTCTGTACATTATTATTATTATTCAGTTCAAAAATAATAATATGAGCCTGCAGCCGCCGCCGCTGAAACTGAAGAAAAGTAACGAATAGCCCATGAGTTCCTAGTACTCCGATGTCACATTTTTCGATTTTAGTTCGTACGTTTTAGTAGGGTTTTTACTATCCCGATCAACCCGGGTTCACAGACCAACAATATTATTATTATTATTCAGTTTAAAAATAATATGAGCCTGCTGCCACTGCGTCGCCGTGACGTCTCTAAACACTTTCAACGCCACTGAAGCGTATACTCAACAGTGTTTATTCCAATAGGCCGGTTAAAGAATCAAACATGTTTATATACACGTTTATATACGCTATAATTATTAAATCTCATTTTTTTAAAAAAAAAACCCTGAAACTAAGATAGGCCATTGACAATGAACTATTAATTTACAGGTATGGGTGATTTTAGTTTTTTTCGTTGTTTCTAAAATCACGGGCGGCGTTGAACGTGCTAATATACTTTAGGCGTACGTGTATTTTTAATTTCAAACGGACGTGGCCTAATGATTAAGACAAGTATTAACTATTAACAATTGATCGATTAATAAGAATAGAGAAATAAATAATAATATTATGTGTGATAACAGTAGGTCAACAGTTGATAAGGTAAAACCGTACATTATGGTGTAATATTATAAATTATCAAGCATGGGCAGTTTCAACTTTTAACTTAAATGTTTAAAATTTAATTTTCATTGACTTAATTTTTAACTTTACTTATTTTAATTGATATCAGCTTAATAAATAACGAGTTACTTTTAATCAAAGTCAAGTTTAGTTAATTTTTAAATAATTAAATAATAAATATAATAAAAATAAAAAATATTATTGATAATACATAACTATTTACTAGAATAGGAATTACAAATATAGTTAAATTTATTTATTGTTCCATTAACCAGAATTCTTCAAGAAAAATAATTCAATTAAATACATATAGATATAGCGATACCCAATTATATTATAACATATAGGTGCATCGTATATATTATAAAGATATACCATAGGTACCATACTGCGGAATACGGGCATATTGTAATAATAATAATTAATAAATACTAATAACTAATGCTAATAAGTATTATGATATTATTTTATTTTATTGATAAAAATCAAAAATGGAAAATTCTCATCTTCATCAATTTGTTTCATCCCTTATTAAAATTATTTAACCATTGAAAACAATTGAAAAACTTATTATTTAAAAAATAAGATTTTTATACATATTTCTAACTATATGGCATCGGCTATAGACAATAATCAAAATTCGGTACATATTACAGTAGTAAAGTTAGTAAATTATATTATGATACAATCAAAATAAGTTCCGATGATTTTATTTAGTAAAAAACTTATATTCAAGTATTCAACACATATTATTCTTTTATTACCATTTATTTAGCTAGAAAATCTAAGCCCCAATTATAACTATAGGTACACAACATATATTGATTATGAAAAAAGAAAAAAATTATCATTGCAAGTACAGATAGAATAAACATAAACAAAATATAGACAAATATAATAAATAAAACAATATGTGGTATTTATAATAAAATAAAATTCCTTGGCCAAATACAAATTTTATGACGTTATATTATGTCCTTTATTATGTACGAGTGTTTATTTTAATATTCCGTAAATTATAAATAATATTATATACAATGGCACTATACATTTTTAACAACTCATAGTGAAGAGTAAACACTTAGTACATGGCTAATATAATTTAATTTTGTTTGTCGAATCATTAATATAATACATCACAGACACAGCTTTAAATATAATTGGAGTTTGAGTAATAACTAAACTAAATACATTCGGCATAATTTAAATAAAATTATAAAAAATCTTTGAACTTTAAATCAAATTTGTTTTTAATACTTTATAGACAAAAACAATTTATTAAATTTATACAAATTTTGAATTGACATATTTTATACTTAAGTATACTTTGCACTTACATAGTACAATATCAACGTATTTAGGGTTATTGCAATTAATTGTACATAAAAAAAAAAAATAGTAATTTTTTATAGTATCAATAATTTATCAATAGAAACCAAATTCAAAAATATATTCAAATTCAAGTTTAAATAATACTGTTATTTACTAAAATTCAACAAATATATTTTTTTAATATGCAAAAAGTTAAAATTATCTTTTATTACATTTACTTATATACAACATATTATATATTTTAAATGTATAATCAATGTGATCATCTTTGAAGTTTTATAACTTTTATCAGTCATATTAATTAATTAATAATTATTGAACACAATTTTAAAGATATCTTTCTTTCAATTTGTATTCACATACTATAATTGTTATTACTAGTAGGTAACTTAGAACCTTAATATTAATCAGAATTATCCTCAGTTTCATTATTTTGAGCCAATACTCTATTGAGAGCAGCAATATATTGAGGTGTACGATGATAAACATGATTTTTCTTATGGAATAATTTTGGTCGTTTTCGTTTCTTCTAAATAAAAAAAAAAATGCTTAATTCAATACTTAAAAACATTTAAAAAAAGGTTTATATTGTTTAAATGAAAATGAATTATGTAGTTGGATAGGGCTTCTTCGTATTACATTTTTTAATTTTATATTTAAAAAAATTACATGAGGGGTATGTAGTGTGACGGGATTATTTTTTATATATTGTACAAAATATACTCAATGGATATAACCAGTGATCGGATTTTATTGAAATTGCACATTTTTAAATAATGTTCCAAAAAATAGATAAGGAAAATATTATTATGTGAATAACTTCAATTTAAATAAAAAATATGTATAGTAGAAAATAATGGTCTTCCACTATCTAATCTACAATAAATTTATTGATTTAGTTAGGTTAGGCGAGGTTAATGGCGGCTTGTGCTAAAGCACTGTGAACTATCCAAAATATTTGATAAAAATATTATTAGATATCAATAGTAAATTATAATTTGTTATCATGTATATATTTGTAATATAAAAGTTATTAATTAAAAAATAAATGTGTTTTTACAGCTTTTCGTGTTGATGAGTGTGTTTAGTAAAAATTAAATAATTTGCACAAATATTAGCTACATGCATCGACACGGTCACTAGTAAAACATGGTATTTTTGAGCACTATTAATATGTGGACCGGTTTAATTGTGGTGTGCTGTCATGTTGATTGTCGATACGATAAAGCGCCGCCATTTATTGGACATTAATTGCATAAAATAATGTACAAAAACAGAATAAAATAATGTTAACTTAAAGAACTTAAGTACCTACATTATTCAGGTATTGTGAAAACTGGTCAACTGAAGTAAAAATTCTGTAGATTGATTTTTATTTGTTAACATTTCAAATATATAAATCATTTTATTTTTATTTTTTATGTAAACAATGTAAAAACTATTTTTATAGTTAATTTTTCTAATAAAAAGTAATATTTTATAATTTTGTCTAAGACTATATTATACTGTATTTTAAGAAAGGGCAGTTTTTAGTATGGAATAAAATCCGAAATACCAAGGCTTTAACCTTGTACTAATAAAATTGAAAATCCGGTCAACTATTGAATGACCAAAAGTTATAAGCAAAACACTAACTGGAATGCCTGTAATTGTTAATTAAATATAAATTTATTAGTATTAAAATAAAATCCAAAATATGTTACCCTTTTCTTTTCACCACGTTTGATGGGTGCTGGCGTTAGAACATCAGAAGATGATTGTTCGGATTGTTCTGTAAGTTAAAAGTATAAACAATTAAAGTATGAATTGATTAATAAAGGAAATGTTTAAATATATAGGTACCGTCTATGACCATGCTATAATGTAAAAGATTAAATTTTACAATGTCGTATATTTTTGTAATTCCATTTTTTCTATAATAGATAAATTCTTCACGCCTTTTTTTTAGCAGATATTCTTGTTGCAGCCGTATATTTAATGACCACAATTCAACTTCCGTTAAATATCGGCTAAATTTTTTTATTTGATTTTCAATGCTTATTATACTTCTACAAATGAAAAAAAAAATTGTAAAATAAGTTTATTCATCATAAAACCAACATACCTTTCCTCTGGTGTTAGTCTACGCTTGGGTTTATCTTTAGAGAAAAAATATTTATCCATCAATTGATAATCGTGAACAACTTCTTTGGCATATTCACGTTCATATAACCGTGTACAATACATATCGATACACGCAAGATTATAATCTGTAATATAATAATTATAATAATAAATGTAAGTTTAACCGAAGTTTGAATTCTAATTAAAATAGTAAACATAAGTATGGCTATAATGATATATTTAATACTTATTTAGTATTTACCATCTCCAAAATCATTCCATTCTGATGTAATACTTAAAACTGCCTCTGCATTATTGTCAAAATCATTTTCCTGTTTAAGTTCAACGTATTAAAATACAAAAGTTACACTAGGTACTTAAAAATAAAATGTTAAGTATATACATACCAACTCAAATTCGTCTCTTATTGGATTGTACCCAATTTCAGCATACTGAGCTTTAGATAATCCAGATAAATGAATAATACTTTCATTTAGTTTGAAATTAACTGTACGATCTTCTAATTGTGGTTTCTTTATTGTACCCCATGTTAGCCTTCCAATCGTACCATCCAAGAAATATTTGGCAAATTGAAATTTGATTTCTATTTAAACCGATATAATTTATTGTTATTAACATTCTTAATTTAAATATAAATACCAATTGTAATCATAAAAACTATTATTTTTTACCTGATGGAGTTCGATTTAATATGTTTTTTGGTAACTCATCCCAACATCCAAAAGAATATTGCTCAGCAAAGTCTAAAATTTGCATGAGTTCATCACCAGTCCATCCGTCCATTGTAACTAAATACTGCCCAGGTGATTTTTGACCCTTAAAAATAGTTATTTACTTTAAATTAATACAGAGAATCTATTAAATAATTAATTATACTTAAAAATATCTAGGTACGTCATTTTATCCATACATTTTTAGTATTATAAAAAAGTTATTTTAAAAAAAAAATGAAAAATAATAATTGGAAAAATAAAAATTAAGATTTTTTATTATGAAAAGTGTTAGAACGATAAGGTTTTTCAAATATTGTAGAGCCTAATACCAAACTATGTAGTATGGTTTTCAGGATTTTCCAATACTAACAATAGTAATTTGTCCATATTATTTGTATCAGTTGAGTTTTGCATACCAAACAAGCAACACAAGTATTTTGCTCCTACACTTCACGAAATAGTGCAGTTATAGTTATTTGTTAGTGTTTACAGTGCAAACCTCGGTTATTCAAAATACTTGAGCAAATACTTTTTTTTTTTAAGTTCAATAACATTAATACCAATATCTTATATTAAAACTATTTATTACTACCACCTATTCAATAAGAAGAAAGACTATTTAAAGATTCAAGATAAATGCTAATTCAACCAGTGGTGATCAGTATAGCGTATGCCATGGTATATGGGAGTGAGGAGCCGATGGGGGTTTCAGTGTTCAGTCATTCTGTTATCTGTTTGTATTTTGACAAAACCTTATTTATAAATTGTTAGAAGTTAGAACCATTGTAAAATAATCTTTTAGAAACAAAATTTAAAATAGTACATTTCGAAAAATTGGTAATTGGAATTTGAACTAGACCACTAGAATGAAAAAAAGTATTTAGTATTCTAGAATAAAAATACATTAAAATTTTTTTTATTATTTAAAGTAGATTGGTCAAAAAAAGTAGATTAAAAATAGATTAAAATAATACTAATAACAAGTACAGTCGTTGCCAGATAAATTGAGACGGCGGGTTTTTCAGTAAGTGTGGCCCAAACGACGCGCGCAGTCATTAGTTCAAACCCTACTCAGTGCTAAACATTTGTTGTACTCTCTCTCGCAGTTTGAAGGCAATGATTTAGGTGAAGTACCACTAAAGCCATAACAAACTATTGTTATGTATATTAACATTTTTATTTATAATATTATAATGTATATAGATGTTGTTATTATTTTATTAATATTATTTATTTATTATTATTATATTATTTATATTATTTTACAATTTCTACTCTTTGTTCTTAAATTAAAGATTATTATCAGAATATTTGATTTTAAATTAATATTGTAAAATACATTTTGTGACAATTGTTGGTTTTTTATTGATGTATTTTCGGTAATAATATTCAAATACGGAAAACCACTGGTTTTCCGTTATCGCGCCGTCGCTTCAATTTATCTGGCAACGACTGTATTTGAATACTTAAGAGGACGCTACACCAGTATGTATTGTATAACTTTTTTTTTTAATTTTGATATCGAAAAAATAAAAACGACATTGCACAGTAAATTTCCTCCTCTTTAAAATGTGAAAATTTGGTTGCTTAGCTTAGACTACAGCCTGAGTGATTTTCACAAGCTTAACCAACTTTAATAAGAAATGGGTACAGCAAAATACTTAAATGAAATAAAAGAGTGGCAATTTAAATTGGGCCAATCAGAGCAAAGCAGTTCTGAATATACTCACATTAGTAAAATGCGACTAGCACAAATTTCGTTGAACTATAAAAGTATTAGGAGAACAAATAGTTAAGTAAAACAGAAACTAATTTTAAACAGAAATAGGTTCCCGGTGGTAATTCATGGATTACATCCCGAAACCGATCCCGGTGACATTAAAGGCGAATTATTCGAACTAGGATATCTTGTATAATAATATATTATAATGTTACCAACATTCAAATTATAAAAAATCTGACCCTAATAACAATGGTGATCCAACCATTGCAAGGCTACAATCATTATTTATGGATTTGGAGCCACAAGCAAAACAACAAAGATATATATGATCTTAAAAATTTGTTTTACTACAAAATAGAAAAAAAAGTGCCACATGCAAAAATTGCCAAGCTTTTGGTTACATTCAAAACTACTGTCTAAATTGCTGTAAGTCTAAGAAATCAAAGGCAAAATGACAAAAGACACACTGCAAAATGAAAAGGATGCACTGCTTATAAAAATGCTGTAGAAAAAGCTCATCCAAAAAAATGACAAAGAATACAACAAAATCTTGTGAAAACAGTCATTCAAGATGTTTCTTTTGTACAGATGGCTAGTTCTCCAAATGAAAAAAAAATGGTCCAAAGAATCAAATGCATACGGAGCAGAAAAAATGTACTGTCACTATGATGGCAGCATTAACAAAATTAAATGAGATTGGATAGGCTTAAGAATAACCAGCGCAAAACAAGAAGAAATGAATCGGACACTTGGAATTATAACATGGAACACTAATAATATTATGTATTTATAATAATATTGTGATTAGAAGTTTCAAGTACCCGCAAATATTTTTTTAAATTACAACACAAAACTATGGTAATTTTTTTAAGAGTTACAACAAAAACATAGATCGATTTGGTCAAAACCCGATTTGGCTTAAAAATTCCCATTTTTCATTCATTTTTTTCACCGGACTTCTGAAAACCACAAGGAATTTTAACCGGAAAAGATTCTTAAGTTGAAAATTGAAGCATAATTTCGACTACTTATCGTGTATACATATCGTGGACACAAATAAAAAAATAAAACACAATATCATAACAAAATCAAATACATACATAGCGCTGCTCAGAATCGTATATATTATATGTAGTACTCATAGACATAGTAGCAGTTCAAACTGCGCACATGCACATTAATGAGTACAATATTTTTAAAACCTTTCAGACGTAAAGTACGATAAAATACTATGTATTCTATGTAAAGTATTTGGTATGATAAAATATTATAAATAATAATTAATTTGTACTTTGTAGTTGGTACTTTAACTTAAGGCTTAAACTACAGTCACAAAATAAGTACCCATACAATATTATTTTATACAATCAAGTTTGATCAAATCTGACATCAAATTTTGCTGCATCACTGTGTTATGTCTCACCGTGGCTCACAGTGCATATAGTATACGGGAGGATCGTCTATTAATATAACGTCTATGATAGTACTATATATAAATATTATTAGTTAACCTAACTAATTTAAAAGTTAAATCAAAGTTACTTAAAAGGAAGCTACCCATACATTTGTTGTCTCCGTCTTACAAATGCATGACATAGTAAATTGTCGTTCACTACTTTCAATAGTATGATGTTAGTTTTGATACTATAGTCTGTCTCACGAGAGAACGGGACCGGCGGCTGACCAAAACTCATTTGCCACCGAGCATCCCCCACAAACTTTTCGTTGTAAGCGTGATCACGTGGTTACCTAACCTAACGGTCCCGTTCTTTCGTGAGACAGATTATAGAGTGAATTGACCTATTATAACATGTTTTGATAATAACATTCTCTGCGCTTAAGCTTTGGCTTTTATTCAATATTTTAATTTTAAAAGCGAGATATGAGCATTTTCAATTTTGATATTTCACATACACATATCTTGCTTAAAAATGAAAATATTAAAAAAGCACAGATAATATTCTTACCTAAAAGTGATAATAGGTTATATCACTCTAATATTAAAACTAACAACACACTATTTAAACTATTGAATGGAAATTTGCTATGTCATGCATGTGTAAGACGAAGACAACAAATTTATGGGTAGCGTCCTCTTAAAATAAAATATTACTTTTAACTTGTATCCATGGTTATTTTTGTGATCTCCAATTTCTGCTCCATGACTATAACACTAAAATATAAAAATGTTCAGTATATGATTATATTTATTTATAATAAATACCTAACTTAGTGGAATAGTATTTAAAGAAAAGTAATTTATGGTGTAAAAATGTAGAGTAAACATTTAAATTAAAAGGACGGCAAACCCACATTTTGTGCTGTCGCAGTCTTACAATGTACAATATTCCAAATCTGAAATCACCAAAACTAAGTTTGTGTTGTTTGAGCATTAACAATAGAGTGATTGACTTATTACCAAATTTAAAGGTAAGAATATTATCTGGGAATTTCAAAAGGTTTTTATTAATTTTAATATTTAAATAGCAATATTTTACATAGTTTAACTTATTTAAAAATTAAAATATCTATTAAAGCTCTGAGTCCCCAAATAATATTGTTTACTTTTAAGTTTTATATAAAAGGTCAATTCATTTTAATATTAGATGCAAAGTTGCTATGTAACAACATGTAATTATAATTATACATGTAATACGACAGAGATAACACATGCAGGTTTGATGTCCTTTTAAATGTATTGACTGAGAAATTGTAAAATACTTACGGCCAAACATAATTGAAAGTATGAACATTCCAAGCATATTACAGTTAAACTGTCTATGACATCCTGACAATATGTGCAAGTGTTATCCATAGTTGGAGTCTGTAAGTAATATTAAAAATATAATATTTATTAATATTAATTTTGGCAGTACTTTAAAAAAAAAAAAAAAAACATTAATAGTTTAAGTATACTTAAACTTTAATCCAGTTAAGATCTCAGCGTCGGCCAGCTTTATACCAATTTACAACCCCAGGAGTTAATTATCTGTACAGTATCGCCTGTTGTGAAGGGTAGCCAGAATAAAAATCCCCGGACTACAATTTTACTTACAACCACATGAAAATTATTGAACAAATATATTGGTAATTAGTGGTAATTAGTGTAATTACCACGTTATTAATATTTAATTACAAATATATACCTAATTCTATAATGAAAAAAATTAAAAATCAAGAAGTTATTGAAAAACATTATATTAAAAATCCAATCTATGTTTAAAGTTAAAAATATATATTCAATACAAGTTCAATTCTATATTTATATTATAAGTTATAACATCTCGTTCAACATTAACAATAACATTTTGTTTTAAACTATGTATAATTCTGTAACAATTAAATCCCCGAAATAAAATATTATAGAAACGTATTATAATTATTAGGAGTTTCACAAGTTTTACTGTATAAATACAATATTTAAGATTGTAAAATAAAAATATTTAGAATGTGGGCACTGTTTTACGCCACTCAGAATGTTTGGGTTAATGTGTATACATAATATTTTTAACATAATTTTTACAATTTTAAAAATAACTTTTAAATTTAATATAGATAAATTAACACAAAGATAATGTAGTTAGTGTTTTGGTATATAAATACCTATTTTGAAACAATAAATTATACCGAAATGTAATGTAAACATCTATTTACTAGGTATGTATTATCTGTTACCTAGTCACTCAAAAGTAGTCATTGTACAGCCATTTGTTGATAAAATATGTGCATGTCCTATTTAATTTATGATTTGTTTCATAACTTATGATTAAAACCATAATAAAAAAGCACATATCATATTTTTATTACTGAATATCATTGATACGATTTAGGTAAGACAAAATGTTATTATGTAGCATTAATTACCTACTAAATTATCTATATTTTACATAATACAATACCATACTTACTAAAAAAATTTGTTAATGTTAAAATATTGGTCTCATTGTGTTTTTTATATTAATGTGTAATTCAAATACATTAATAGTGTTATGCTTAACTGTGTGATGGTGATTCATACCTTTGCCAACAAAAATGTCAGGTCTTCACCCCACCCCCTTAAACTTAAAGGCCCCCCAGCCTAACCATGGCGGTATGAAAACTCGGTATAACAACAATCGAAACCCTGACGGCAAGCAGTTACGATAGGTATTTAGTGCTAGACAAGTCGTGTGAACATCACAATACCAGTACGTCAATAACAGTACTCGGTGAAACAAATAATAAGTAAAACATAAAACTTGAAAAATCGACTGTGCGTTACCTATAATATCTGTGCTGAGCGACAAACCGGACGTATTAACAACGGCATAAGGTTCTCGCCGACCGGTGTGATCCTCTCCAGACGGACGTTCGCGCGAAAACCGCAGACAAGTGGGTGGTCGTATTGTGGCCTCAGATCGCGCAGACTGCGAACCGATTGCGACAAATGCGACTGCGACAGTGCGACACCAGCACGTTCGCCTGAGGGCTACGACACTTCGGAGAGCCGCGATATGCAGCGCGTAGCGTTTGCAAAATGTCACTGCGGTCGGCGAAGATTATCAGCGGAAAAAACGTCGAAAACCGTTTGAGAGGTACAACGCTGATAACGTCGGTGGCGGCGGCGGGGTCATAACAAAACAAAACACCACGAACGTGGTAAAGAGCATTGGAGGGGGGGTCAATTCTACTAGGTATGACGCCGCTGCCGGCGGCTCGGCGTCGCTCACGGAACACCAACAATTTACACGACCGTCGTCGGTCGACGGTCCGCCTGATTGGTGGATGGTTGCTGGTGACCCAGCGTCCAGCACTCACAACTCCCAACACACACTTGTTCCACCGTTCGTTATCAATGATAATAAAAAATAATATTAATATATTATTATTATTGTCTGACTTTTACGTAGGTATAATAATTTATTTTACAGTCGAACTTAATATGTTGGTTTCACATGAAGAGTGAATACATGAAATTGAAGGGACTAGTGAAAAAATTCGATTTTTCGAAGAGCAATGATGAATGATAACAAAAAATCTACACTATAATATACAGATACATCGGTACATGTATATGTCTTGTTTCTACTGAATATAGTTGACATAAGAATGTCGATGTCAAATTGGTATAATAGATACGAGGAGTCGAGGATTAAACTGTAGGTAACTTTTTTAACAGGTCTAAAAAATAAACAAGTTTCAAAGACAGGAATTATTTATTTATTTTTTAAAGACAGCAATAAATTATTTATTGAATATACATTTTTCTAAATTTTTATTTAAATTTTTAATTTAAACCACAGAATCGTCATTTACAATACTTTTAGTGATGGATAATAAAGGACGGTGTGTACTGAAGTATGAAACGTACTCACGAGTTTCAAGCTTCTCAATATTTCGATAAAATAATAATAATATTAATCGCACTAATGACGTCATAGTAACATTCTCGGTGTCGAACAAATTAACAGAATGACCCCCAGCCATAAGACATATACATGTCAATTATAAAATTTAGAAGGAAAATTAAAACAAAAGTTATTATTGTAGTATTGTTCTATGGTTTTACAAAGTCACATAGGTCTATTCGTCTATCTAAAATAGTAAAATGTATTTTATTCCAATATTATTTTTAAATAATTTTTTTTATTTATACATGTTAGTATGTTACTATAATAGTATAATATTAATATTAATATTATATTATATAATTATAAAGTACAATAATTCATATTTGATGCCTACTCATACTTAAATTTTTACGTTAACTACCATATTTAAAGATTTAACATAAAAAAAGGTGGGTAAGTGGATGTCGCTCTGCTGTACAGTAGGTTACAAGTGGGTCACTGTATAATGGATGGTATTAAATTTGAATTCAATGATATAATATCATTGTATAAGAAAAACGATTCTGAGCGGTGACGGTATGTCAGTCTATGTATAAGACATATTATATACATATCTATGGTATTAAACAAAAAATTGACCTATAATGGGTACTTATAATAAATTCCAAATTAATCATATCACAATGTCCATTAGGTAATTATAACGCGTTATACATCAACAAAAACCGTGATACTATCATAGATATATAATAGTACACTTTAGAAGTTTCAAGTACCCACGAATAATATTATTCAATCACAACAAAATAACTAAAATAGTTATTCTAGGTTTTTTAATATGTAATTTCGTCCAAATTTGAATTTAAAATGTCTGTAAAAAATAACTGTGTTCATAAATTTTTTAGATTTTTTGGTTACAGTATGAATTATTTAAGAGAATCTTTGTTTTAAATTTTCAACTCTTAGTTATAAAAACTAAACATTTTATAATTTTTTAATTCCAACGATTGATAATTTTCGAGATTTTGATAAATTTTGTCAAAATTCCAACTTTAAATGCTTATAAAAAAAAATCGTGCCTATGTATTTTTAATATTTTTCAACTGATATTGTAACAATATATCAGGAGCCTTGTATTAAATTTTTACACTTTTTGGCCCAACAGATAAAACTTTATTGATATTTATAGAAAAAAAAACTAAAAAAAATTGAAAGCTGTAAATGTCCATAAACAGCTCAAAAAGAGTCAAAATATTTTCAAAATTATATGGTGTATAGGAAATGCTAATATAAACATTCAGTGAAATTTTCATGTATCTACAGTTATTCGTTTTTGAATTACAACAAAATAAGGAAATCGCTACATGAGAAATCGAGTGAAAATCCAATGTTGTAAAAATTTGAATTTCAAACGCTCATAAAAATGTAATTTGACTGTCCGGTAGAGATTTTTTTATTGATAAAGGTAGATAATCTTATAAGGAATCTTGTGTTTCATTTTCAAATCTTGGATTTAAAAAGAAAAGTTTTTACGAATTCTTAACTCAAAATAATTTGCTAATTTTCGTGATTTTTCCATATTTTGTCAATTTTTGAACTTTAAATGCTTATAAAAAAAATTTGTGACTAAGGATTTTTAATATTTTTCATCTGCCTTTGAAACAACATATTAGGAGCCTTCTATTAAATTTTCAAGCTTTCGCAACCAACAAATAAAATTTTATTGATATTTTTAGAAAAAAAACTAAAAAATAATGGAAAATGAAAAAGTCCCTAAACAGTTCAAAATAAATCAAAATATTTTGAAAATGTTATCGTGTATAGAAAATGCAAATATAAACAACCAGTGAAAATTTCATGTATATACGTTCATTTGTTTTAGAGTTACACCAATAACCAAAATCGATTTTTTGGAAAACCAATTTTGCGTAAAAATTCCCGTTTTTCCTTCATTTTTATGTTGTTTTTCCTGGCGCTTGTGAAAACTATTGGGAATTTTAAATTTTGACCTCCCCAATGCACCAACGATATTCACTTTCCAATCAAACAAGATACTGAAGTTGAAAATCGAAGCATTATTTCGACTACTTATCGTGTACACAGACACAAAAAAACACACATCATTGTAAAATCAATACATTCATCGTTCCGCTCAGAATCTAAAATTTGATAATATTATTAGATAGGTGCCTATACTAAAAAAAGTACCTGATATTTTTTATTAGCGATCGATAAACCAGTTACAGATAATTAGATAAACCACTATACAGTTACAATAACATTACTTTATAATATTTTTGGTAGGTACCAAAAATAAAAATATTATCTTAATTCTTACTCCTACAGATTTCAATAATATATAAGTGCAAGTTACCCATGAAATTTGAGTTGAACTCCATTTTTTTACATTGTTTAATATGATATTCTTATAGGACCAAAAAAAAAAGTGTAGACGGATTTTGTGCTAAGTTTGAGTTAACCAAGTTCGGCTGCACTGTAGAGATGGGCAAAAGTTAAAAGTGCAAAACTACCTAGGTACTTGTTAAAAATAATTTTGAAAATATAAAGTATCTCCAATACATACCTTTTTAAATACATTAATCAAAATGTGTTTATATATATTTCCGAATTAGTAAAAGTATTTTAATTAATATCTTAAAATATTAAACTAGTAGTTTGTAATACAATATTGAAAAATAGTTAAATAAATACAAGTTATAACAACATAAAAATATAAAATAGGTGAAAAAAAATCATGATACCTATTTATTTGTAATTGGTAGTAGATATAGTAGGTAATATTTAAGTGATGAAATTAAAAACTATACATCATGTACTCATCAAAGTTACCCACATTGTTAAGTTTATGATATGGTTATTTATAATACATATCACACACCGGTGTAGAAGGTTCAATAATTAATAATTATACATTAGTGCCATTCAGTGTCAAATTTTTTTTCAATCTATAATTTATAACTATGTATATTGTAAAAATGTAAAATGCATTAAATTGAAACAGGGGGGGGGGATAGATCCCCCCATGAATTTTTTTTCAATATTTATAACAATTTATAATTAAGTATATTCTATAATGCATTAAATTTTGCTCAATTTTTTTTCTAAAAACAAATTATTAACTATTGTAAATTTCGACAGAATGTCAGAATATATTTATACGTGTTTATATGACATGACTATATTGTCTATATTATTTTCTAGACTCATATCTAGGAACTAGGATATTTTCACAAAATATAGTGTGGGAATTTATTATCCCACTCAATCGAGAATTCTCAATGACAATAACCAGTTCTACACTTTCCCAGAACATTGGCCCATTGTGTGATAGTGCGATCGGTAGGTATATTTTACAATATTACGTAGCTCCTTCCTCAGGTCATTAGTTGGTCGAAACTTGAAACATCAATTGCTTATTATTTGTCATACTCATAATATTTAGTTATCACCATGATTCGTCTTTACTCTTTCGTACTCGTGTTTTCTACTGTGTGTCCATGTAGTGTACTAAAGTGTATTACTATTATACGGTAGGTGTCTTTTGTAATATTGACTATTTTGACTATTTTACATTTTCACAATTACTATGTCTAATAAAAGGAACATCACTAGCTATTTTAATGCAAGTTACTCTACTTCTAATAAACGCTCGGCGGATGAAAAATAAGTAAGATCTTAGATCACTAATATCGTTACAGAAAATCAAGTCGTGGACTTAGCGGTAATATTTTTACCATGGCTGTTTATCGTGGGGTTATAAATATAACATCCAATGAAGTACCTACTGGATGATTACCAAAAAAAAAAAAAATAGATTTACTAATATAATAAAAATATTGTTAATACTATAATATATTTATAAAGTCTGTATACCTAAGTTATAAATAAAGTTTGTATTTACAATAATTTTATAAATTTATATTAGACATAACCATAAATTATATTTTTAATAATAAAATAATGCATGTTAAAAATCAGTAATATCCCCCCGACCCCCCCATGGAAAAATCATTTGACCGTCACTGGCATAGACCTATTAAATTAGTTAATTAATAAGTTAGTCTAATGGGTCTATTGTCTTTTATACACAGTCACCCTAATGATCACTTATTAGTTATTAGACACACATTTACACGACCCGCAAACAGAAAATTGCCTATACGCTATACAATATACGCTTAAGAGGACGTCGTACTCGCATGTGTTGTCTCCGTCTTACACACGGACATCATAGAACATTTTAGTTTGCCAGTTTTAATAGTGTACTGTTAGTTTTGATATTAAGTCAATTCACTCTAATATCATAACCAGGGCTCGGAAGTTCTAGCAAATGCATATTTTTATTGGTTCGTCCTAGAACATCCAAGGTAAGATACAAATATGTTTCACACTTCTCTGATGTCATACACGAAATTTTATTTTGCTATTTTTTGCATATTTACGGTTTTTACTGCTATTTTGCTAATTTTAGGTTTTTAGTGCTATTTTTGGGTATATTTTCACATAAATACATATTATAGAAGGTATTTTGCTAATTTTGGAGTTCGAATTCGTCGTATTTACGTAAGATACGGCGCTATCGCCGTACGTAAAGACCTATGATTTTATTTTAGTTGTCTGCGTATTGCCGTCATTTGTGTGTTGTGCGTTTGATCGTGAACTATCGTATTTATCGTGTTTAAAAATGCCTAAAGTTAAACAAAATTTGTCAAATCGGCTCCAAACCTATGTTAATTTATATGGTCCTAAAATTTTTTCAATTGATAAAAGTGTATTATTTTGTAAAATGTGTGAAGTCAAAGTTAATTCTGACAAAAAGTTTAACGTATCACAACATATAAAAAGTGACAAACATATCAAAGGCCTTGCCCGATATGAAAATCAAATAAATCGACAACAACAGCAGTTATTGACAGCGACAAGTAATATTAGTAAAAAATCGTAATTTAATAAAGATTTGTGTGAGGCTTTTATTTCTGCTAAAATTCCTTCAAACAAGTTAGAAAACACAAAATTTAAAACATTTTTGGAAGGTTATACAAAAAATGATATTCCGAGTGAATCCAAGTTGCGAAAAGGATATGTGGATGATATTTACAATGAGACCATGGATAAAATTAGGAAAATAATTTCTGACAAAAAAATTTGGGTCAGTGTCGACGAGACCACTGATTATGTACAGGGTCGTTACATTGCAAATGTAATAGTAGGCAGTAGGCACTCTTGAGGAAAATAATGCAGGCAATATGTTTTTACTTAATTCGGAGGAACTAGAAAAAGCTAACCACTAAATGAAATTTTATTTTGCATATTTTCCAATTTTTAGTGCTATTTATAGCGCTTATATTAATGTTTTTATGTGCATATTTAAGCGCTAAAAATTAATTTTTTTAGTGCTATAACTTCCGAGCCCTGATCATAACTGACAGAAACCTTTTGGAAACTATCAAACGTAAATTTGTTATGTCGTAAGACGGAGACAACACATGCGGGTGCAACGTCCTCTTAATTGTTGTAGCAACACCTTGGGTGAACGAAAAAAAACGGAAGCAACCAAATGTTATTATTTCCAGTTCGTTGATATGCAAAATTAAATGGAATTACATAATGCAACAACATTTTGTACATTTTCTAAAAGAGAAAATGAAAGTATGTTTGGCTGCACAAATATTCTCATCAAGTATAGCTGATGCATTAATGAATTGTAAAGATAGTCTTAAACTATTAACTGCATATCAAGAATCAGGAACAATTAAATATATAATTAGTTTTGGTATAGCAGCCACAATTCCCTGGTCTGGTCAAAACTCAGTCCATATTTAAAGGTCTATGGTAACATAAGTTACATAACAATATAAAATAAAATAGTTGTTGGTAAATAACATACAAGAGGACTACCCAATTCAAGATACAAATATGAAATAATATCTATTTTTTGCATGAAAATGAAACATTCAACATTCATAAAAATATTTGTATAAAATGTCTACTAACTGCTGTCAATTAGTTATAAAAAAAAAACCAACGATATACATTTAATAACAAAAATATTTAAGTATACCTAGGGTTTATACATAATATTACTATTTAAGTTAGAGACCATACACATATTTATAATTACAGATAAGATTATTTTAATTCTAATATTTATATGGTACTAAATTAAAGTTATTGTTCTCTATATATTTATATAATTTGTTTAATAAAACTAATAATTTTAAAATGAAGAATCATAGTTTCATAGCACAAATTATTAATAAAGTTACTAAAAGTAAAAAATATTATTTTAATTTATGTATTTATATGTGAAACATATTAGTTACTAGAAATTTATAAGATTAATTAATTTATAAAAAAACATGGCTATTAAAAAATATCTTGTATAATAAAACATTATTGCACCACAATTCCATAAGTATAATATTACATTTTTAAGTGTATCGAAAAATGTTATACCTATTTTTATGTATTTATATACAAGAATGTATTAAAATAAATGCAGTTATAGAAGTGTTTTGAAAAATACAAAGATGAAAATTAATCGTATTTAATTTTAATACAATATTAATATAGTTGTAGCTAAGTTCAACATTTATACAATAATTTTAAGTTAAATTATTAATAATCTTATCAAATATTACAGTTCAGACATAATTTATTATTTTAATTTTTGGTTTGAGATAAATCAGTCTTGTTTATCTTAATAACTAATTTTCAGAAGCTTCTGGTACACATTCTGATATATATTTCATGTAAGAATTGTTACCATTTTCTATCTGTAAAAGAAAAAAAATATTTAACCCTTTACTAGAAACTTTTAATAAGACTTATTATTTTATACGGCTTCTCATATAAATGAAAGCAAATAACAAATAGTTAAAAGAATTGTATTCATATTCATATAATTTAAAAACATTAATTACCACTAAGCTATATAGAATACTAACTTTAGTAGAAATTACTTCGCAGACATCATATGGGTGTTGAGACCTAAAAAATAGGCCATTATTAGTTTTTGAACATGAATCAATAAAAATTTAATTTTTTGAATAATAATAATAATAATAATACACCTTACACCCATTACAACAGATGAACACTGTTAGAAACATGAATTATATAAAATAGAAACTTATTAAAACCATAATTTTTTAGTTGTTAATAGAAAAAAAATATAATGATAGTATAGACCAGCGGTTCCCAAATTGTACGCCGCGGTGCTCTGGTTTCTTTACAGAGGCGCCATGCTTCCGTAGAATTTTATTCGGTTCAAAAATAAATTAATTAACTTGACATAAGCGGCGATGGAAACAATTAAATTAGATTATGTAAATAAACATGTATAAATTATAATATATAACTTTAATTAAATACATATATTCATATTGCACATTTCAAATTTTCTAGATTTTTATTTATTTCTTATGTTTAATCATGCTATGAATTGGGAAGGGCAACCTTACAAAACCTTAGTTCAAAAAGTGCACCACAAGCCAAAAATGTTGGGAATCGCTGATATAGACTAATAATTGTAATTACGTGATTGGTTATTTATCCATATGTTTTAAAATAATTAATAAAATATTTTTCTCAGTATGGAACATAGAATTATTTGTTATTAATTGTATAAACTATATAAAATATGTTCTACTTATAACCAATTAAATTTATTAAAATTTATTTTTTTCATGAAGTACTCATCAGCGATAAATTTTCTAGTAAATTATAATTAGACTATAATGGGTACATTTTTAACTCTTTTTATTTCAAATAAAAATAAACTTAATCATAGATTATTTTTAATATTGTTGTAAATATCAGAAAACCATATTTAGATCTTGTATAAACATAAATATAGTCATAATATAATTATAATATTATATAATGCACAGCTTAAACTGCATAAGTTTAATTTAGTTTAAGTTTTGAAATTAGTTATTACTAGGGCAGACGACTTGAAGCATTTGCATATTTTTTTTTGCACAGTCACAAAAAGAGCAGAGTGCAAAACAAATACGTTTCATGCTTCCACAAAGCTAGTTTTGAAATTTTATTGTGCATATAAATGCATATTTTACGTTTTTTGGTTTGTAGGGCATATTTTACACTTTTATACGCTATTTTATATTTTTTGAGACATATTTTACTTGAATCGATTTTTTCCATAGTGACATTTTTATTTCAAACAATACAGTCAAAATGTTTGGATAAAAATGAATTTATTTTAAATTTTTGTCGTTTAATATGGTTTTTGACTGTGCTCGGGCACACATTTTTCTTAGAAGCGATAACAATTTTAACGTACACTATACCTACGACATCAACACCACAAATACGTGTGTACACCATGCGGGCTTTTATTCAATTAGGATTTAATTATAAAACGTTTATCAATATTTTAGTATTTAGTCTCAGCCAGTGAAGTAAAATTTATTAATTAGCATTAATGTAATAAATAATAATGTTAATGTATTTATTATTTAAATAAGAAGGCTAAAAAAATTTTAAGTGCATATTTTAATTGCATATTATGGTGTATTTTAGTGCATAAGTGCTTGCATATTTAGAGCTACAAGTCCTCTGCCCTAGTTATTACCTAAAACATTAATATTATGGTGGCTTGGCGTGGCGCAGTGGCTGCAATCGGTTATGCAACATTATTGAGAGTAAGTACCTGCAGCTGCCACTAGTTCCCTTATGGGCGGCCACATGGGTTCGTAGTGGCAAAAACCTTGCTACACATACACATGTTGCTAACCAACAGTTTCAACTGTACCAATCGTTCCAACCTTACTAACCGTACCAATAGTAATCAATACAATAGCTAATGGCCATAGTTGGTGGCTCAAGACCATTAAAAAAATTTATATTATGCAGTTTTCATAAATATTCTGAAAAATGTATTATTTTACATAATATACCAATTATTTTACCTTATTTTAAATTTTTAATATAAATATACAATCTATATCATACTGACATATTTATAATTTCAATTTATTATATTAATCAATTGCTTTTGCGACCAGTGTTGTAGTTCAAGGATATAGAGTCAAAATTAATTTTGTTTGGCTACTTAGATAACATAATACTTACTCTACATAAGTAATCAAATCTCCTATTCTTGAAGTTCGTGTTTTAATAACCTATACATAAAATAAAATATAATTAATAATTTAATTGGTACAAAAATTAATAATAAGTAGTAATTACCTACTAGTAAATAATAATAAATAAAAAAAGTTAATTAATGTATTAATAAAGATTGAGATTGTTGTTAAATTTTAGTTACTTTATGATATATAGATATACAGAAATGTAATTTTTTAACAAATATACTTATAATTCATTCAAATTAAATACAATTAAATATATTTTCATACAAAATACAGATGGATAAAATTACAATAGATTTGACACAGAAAATATGTGTAAGGCATATTAGAATCTTTAAGACACCAGTAACCATTTATAACCAGTTATTATTAGTAAATATAAATATATAATTCCAGAATGTTAGTTATATTATTTGATAATTTAAATACTAAAACTTATTTATATATTATATAATGACTCTTACCATCAGTATTTCAGAGTCTTCGTTTACTTCACTCTTCCATTTATAAATTGATGTAACATTCGGAATCAAGTTTACACAAGCTGCAAGATCCTTCGTTATAAGACCACTGTAATATAAATTTATATAAATTAGTCTTTTACATTTAACATTAGGTAATTTATTGATAACCCTGGTTTATTATAACAATTTTATAAGTCACAGAAAATATAATAATATATGTATCTGTTTATCAAAATTAATTTTATTTATTGATATATAAAATTATAAATATTAAGTGATATATTTTAAAACTTTAAATGCATATAAATCTGGTCTTAAGTTATAAGTATTTAAAGTTTAGACAAGCAGAGTAGTGGACCAACATTTTGCGGGGTAACCACTCCTCTCATCAAAACTTTAAATACTAATGACTTATAAGCTACTTGTCCTAAAATCAATTTTCATGCATTGAAATAAGTAAGAACTCAAAAAAAAAATTGATGATAAAAAATCTTTAAAAAAATATATATATTTTTTAAAATGTTGTTTTTTATTGACTAGAAACCATACATGAAGAGTGTTAAATGATAAAAGAATTTTTTTTATTTTATTAAAATGATGATGACATGGTTATGTTATTCTAAATATTTTTATAAATCCTATTTATACTGTGAAAATGTAATATATTTAATATTCACTAATCAAATAAATACATAAATCTCTAGTTTTAACTATTTAAATTAATCTTCTACTGTTCTTCTTCAAATTATCTTATAATTAATCTTCTTCAAATTATCTCTATTATATTTTTAATTGTAAATATTTAAAATAGTTCACTGATGAGCTTGACTAAAAAATGGACTATTAAACTAAACTAGCATACCTATTTTGAAAATAAAAAATAAATAGTTGAGTACCTATATGAATTTGATTATTAAAATTTAATCAAAAATATGTTTGGAAAATGATTTATATACCTAATTATTCAGATTTATGTCACTACACAGTATAATAGTAAAGTTAATCTTAAGAGACCTTAGTTAAACGATTGTCGATTGTTATTACTCAACTCACCGAGCCAAACTTTTTGCTAATTCAATTGTCGGTGCAGTGACATGCACTATAGAATGTATTCCGCATTTGTTCATGATGGATCGGTGTCGAATGAAAAATGAAAAACACAAAATCAGTTTTTACTTTCCGCTAGCTATAGTATTTCTAAAAAAAATAATGAAAATTGTTTATCGTTCTTTTGCCAACTCACGAGATACTCACTTCTTTGGTCGTCGTATTTTTGATCGACCTTCGATAGTCTATTTATTATTTAAAGTATTTAACTCGAAATTCGAATAACGATTAACGAATAGAATGGGTAGACGTAGTAGGTAGCATTTGTCATGGTAAGTAGTGTTGAATTCGGGGCCTCGAGAAATTAATATCAAATAATTCGGCGAGTGATCGACGATCGTAGTATCAATAATAATATGATATACATTTTGGTGATAATAACAATAATTAATAATACAGATTTCTATATAGTCTGTACCACGGTCGTGGTCTGTACAAAAATATCAAGGTATACAACTTGATAAATATCATATTATTATTATCATTCTGTTTTTTTATTCCACCGATTGCCAATTCTGTCCTGATAACCGATGTACCGGACCAATGCCGAAAATCAATATAATTATTAATTTTATTTATTTCTCGGGTGTTTCGTCTTGTTGCTCTAGTTACTGAATTATAGATTCTTTTAAGATATTAACTATTTACTATTTATTAGCCATTAGTTATTTAGTTATCTACGGTGAAGCGTAAACTGCATTTAAAAGTAAGTGTTATTATTATGTTTTGAACGTAAATCGGATGAATCTTTAGAATTCATAGAGCCTGGTGAAAATCAAACTACAAGGCTAATACTATTTAATTCCTTCATATGAAGATCTTATTATCTTAATAACAAACATAATGTTTAGTATAAACTAAGATACTTTTATAAATTGTTCTTCATGTCTATTAATGAAGTGTAACACTTTGAGTGCTGCGGTCGACAGGTAGTCAACAACAGTGGCATTGCCTCTGAGGCCGCGGTCGACGGGTAGTTGAAAATTTGTATAGACATCTTTATGGCCTTATAATTTACTCGGTTATCAGAGCATTTCTTCTGTTTTTATACCTGGTTATTCAGTGAAATGTCTATTATTCAACGGTGTATTCGGATGTTATTTTCGTTTATTTTTAGCAAAGTAGTGGTTATTTTTCCCTAGAAATAATCAATGGCGAAATCGACGTTACGACGATTGTTTATGTTTATCGCTATAGTTATTATATCTGGACATTATTCTTATAATATACATTTGTATAGTTATTAATGGTATTATTTTACTTATATATGAACAAAAATAATACGAGGAACTTACATAATATTATTTCGTTTTAATTCGGATATATACTATTCATTGCTACAGGTATAAGATATTTGTAAATTTTATTGTCGGATATTAATCGTTCAAATACTAAATAATAACGACAAGTAGGTATGTAGCCAAAAAAACACAATCTACTGGAGGATGACGTCAACACATAGACGGCCGGCGAAATTGTAGGACTGATTTGGCGCGGATAATCGGGCACCGCTCGCCAAATAAATTTGGCACTCAACGTGTTAAACCATTTTTAGATCCAAACGAGAAAAAATATAATTTGGTGCCTTATTTTTAAGTCCTGTTGATAGCAATAAAATGATAGATGTAATAAACAATTAAAAAAAACTAGACTACTGCAGGATTTCATAAATTATTGGTGAAACTACTAAAAACCATTTCATCATTTATGGCAGGCTCTTTAGAGCATAATATAAAGTGTAACAGGGAGACCTGACAAAAAAAAAAGATGCTACTTAAATGTATGGTAAAAATTATTGAAATTATATGATTAGTAAATAATTAAAAAAATTACTCAAGTCAGCAAATTCCCAAAAATAATATTTTTAAAAAAGTTATTAGGTACCTACGTTCCAAATAAGTTTAATCAAAAAAATATTGATATTTAAAAAATTCCAAAAAAAAAAAGTACTTGACTTGGATACCTAAATGTTTTTACCAACAAAATTGTTCTGAAAAAGATTTTCTGTATTAAATATAAAAATATTTATTAGAACAAAAGTTATTTAATCTGTCATGTCTTCCTGTCACGCATGTATATCATAACAATAGTTAATCAGAACTTATTTTTCCTACAAAATTATAGAAATATTTCAATGTTATGAAATTTTTTAAACTTGGAGAATATAGTGAAATTAAAACTAATGAGTTTCTTAGAAGAACTTAATTTTCTTTAAAATAATCAATTTCATTTGAGGCCATGTGTAGGTACTGTAGATGCAATTTATAGTGTTTCTAAGTATATATGTATTGTTGAATACTGGTGATAAAACTAGGGATTTTCCTAGATTTTGCTAAAGCATTTGACACTGTTGACCATAAAGTTCTTTTGAATATTTTATCTAGTTTTGGAATAAACAATCAAAGCCTTAACTGGGTTTTGAGTTATTTAAAGGATAGAACACGAATAGTTAGGTATATTTTAGGAAATTTACTTGGAATTAATCGTGGTGTTCCCCAATGAAGTGATTCAGGCCCAATATTATTTATAATGTACATTAACACCATTTGTGACTTGAAAATAGATGGATCGATAACTACGTATGTAAAAGATATTTGTTTAGTATACTCTAATATATCATGGGCATCGGTCTATACTAAAGCATCCACTGCTCTAAAGAAAATTATTAAAAAATTACATTACATTTTAACTTTTGTTATCTTCCATCTCCTGAAATTGAAATCACTGATAATTTATACAACCCTAATAGTTGCATAATAAAATCTAGGCTACTTAGGCTTAATCTTTGACTAAAACATGACATCTGTTTATAAACTACATGACAATGTGCCTAAGGACAAAATAATATATTGTCTGAGGAAAAAAATGCACTAAAGATTATGCATATTGTGTATTTTATTGTATTTATCTCTCTACCAAACTATTTTTCAGTATGGTATATTGCCTGGAGTGGTGCCTATGATAATACAACAAGTCTTTACAAGCAAAATTAAATTATTTTTTTTTTTATTGATCTCGAGCCTGGCAGCTTAGGCCATTAGCTATTTTTTGTTTTTTGTTGGTAGGGGGGAATACGTGTGTGTTTGTTTTGGCAGAATTTTTGATTTGGGCACCTGTAGGTATCTGCCATGCCCTGGTTAGGGATGGCGGTACTTGTTCTCCGGACATCGTGACTTGCCCGAAAAGAAATGCCGCCCATGGCCGAGGTATCGAACCAGCGTCGCAGCCGACGCATTAGTTCGCTCGGCCACTCCGTTCCCCAAATTAAATTGTTTGTAAGTCTCAATAAAAACACATTAGGCGGATCTCCTAAACTAAATTATAAAAATGTTGGCGTACTACCTGTCAATTTACTTTAAAACAAATTTGCAATCATGTTTTCCAAAAGTAATAACATATATTCAAAATGTAATAGAACATAGGTACAATATCTCAATAAATTACACTCTGGAGTTTGGAAAATCTAAAATAATCTTTACATTTTTATAATAGCAATAGGTATGAAGACCAAAAAGTTATAAGATTTATTGACGGTCCAGTTTTTCAACTTTTGCACATTTATTTATAGTGGGTGATCAAAAAATGAATAATGTTGTAATACTGTCATGGTTTTTTTTAATTTTATTATTATTTACTCGTCTCTGACAACTGTTTTTTGGGGTGGATATTGGTTGTGCACAAAATAATATAACTATCACTAAAATAATAGTCTTCCCTGGTATATGTTTTGGAATATGTATATATACATTTATTGTATTCTTGATACTTACATGAGTACACCTACATAATAAAAAATATATATATAATTTGATTCATTTTAAACTACTTAAATCATTTGTCGTATATTTAGTATTGCTCGAAGCTCAGTAACACACCTAGCACTCCTCCTTGCATTGGCCCTGAGTCAATAATGTTAATGATGCATTAATCATATTATTTTAATTTTTTTTTTCATTTCATTTTCAGAAATCCATACTACTTTCAACAATATGGGCTTCTTATCTACTCTTGTAAGTTTAATGAAAATACCAGTGATTTTTTTTACTAATATCATTGATTATAAACACTATAGATTGCTCAATGGCCGGTTTTTCGGTGTAACAAAATATTTACTTCTAGTAGACGCCGAGGTGACGTGACTACAACGTAACCCGCCATCACTAACCAAAAGGCCGCGCCCTATAACACGGCTTTTTTGTTTATTTAATAATTCAGTGATGTAATCTGAGTGACTTCGTGATTATAGTATTATCATTAGATAATTTATCATAGTGATATCATTCCTTTTGGCTAGCTTCTGCGTAGTGGGTGACGTCTCCTTGAGTTTAATTATAATAATAAGCAGTATCAACAACTAGTTTTTATTATATGCAATATAATATAAATTAATTATAGATAAATATTAAATTTGTTAATTTATATATTTGCAATTTTACACTATAAGGTAGGTTGTTTTATAGTGTCAAATTGCATGTATCTACGCACCACTGTGCGCTTAGAAATAAATGTTATCATTAGTATTAAAAAAATCAAATTTACAACTTGTAATATCTTTAACTGTTATAATCAAATCTAAAAATATATTTGGACTCAGCACTTGTTAACATCTTATTGAGGAATATTCAGATACAATATATTGGTTTTGTAAAATTTAAAACAACTACGTCTTCTACTCCCTAAAATACTAATTTTGAGAGAACAAAATTTTTAGATTTTTTTTTTTTTACTTGCACTAAAGACCTACCTTTGTGCCAAATTGCGCATTTCTACCTATATGGGAAGTACCTTATAATTTTGATGATCAGTCAGTCATGAATAAAAATTTTAAACTTTGGAATGCTCCCCCTTTGAAAAGGCCTTATATTAAGGGCTTCAATTTGTATAATGTCTTCAGCTCCTTGAGCTTAATCTATGTTACAAATTTCAAAAGTATTTTTAAGAGGAAATAGAGATATGAGAGTTAGGAAAACTGGCCCTAAGATGGTATGCTGTAACTTGACATCAGATATAGATAAAATAAATGTTTATGGTTTGTCAATAAATAAATAAGAATTTTTAGTTGCTGTAATTTCTATAATTTAAAAAATTATTTTTGTATATTGGATACTTATATAAATTTAACTATTGCAATTTGTTTATTTATACCTTTATAGGCTTCCTTCGGTCTGGGTCTTTATACGGGGATATATGCGGCACAAAACTACGAGGTAAGCTTAATTTTTCAAATTCATTCTTTTTGAAAACCTAATAACATTGAACTATTTCACAGGTAGCTAAAGTTGATGATCCCGGAGTAATTATAGAAAAAATGAAAAAATATTTAGAAGAAATAATGAAGCCCAAGCAATAAATTACTTTAAAATTCAAAATAAATTAACATTCAAATTGTAAATATAAGTGATCGTAATCATTATATATAATTATTTCCTCAATAATAACATACAAATAGTTTTAATATAAAATAATGTATTAGTATTGAACTATTAAACTATTTTTTGTTACATTATTCATCAAAAAATATGTTTGTATCATTATTTTGGTCTTGCATTTTATATGTTATAATTTAAACTGTTAAAAAGCAACAGAATGTTAATTGGGCTACTCTTGTCCAATGATGTTTAATATTAAGCAATTTCTGATATTAACAGTGGCGGCACCAGAATTTTTAGTACCATGCAAGGATTAACTAACCAAAAATACATGCCTAGTATCCTTTAGGCTACACCTAAGTTCCCAATGGTTGTGTACTTAGTAACTGTCTAATCCTAGATAGGTTCAATATTTAACCTTTTATGCTTGGTCTATTAACCAAAACATTTTACAAAATTCAATTTTATAATAATCAACCAAAATACAATTGTTTTTGTAATGTTTATCAGTGTGTTTTAACCAAATTGAATGAAAATGTAGGACATAAAATGCTATAATAAATCCATACCAATAAATAACAATACATTTATACCCAAATAAAATAGTAACACAGTAAATAAAACATGAGAATCAAAATTTTTATTTAAGTATTATGTAATATATATTTTTAAAGGCACCCTTGAACTATTTTCAATATATTTTAGCTGTTTTTGGATACTTAAATATTACACATACTACATTCATAAGATATTATAAATTTAATGCTACTATAAAATTATACAGTAAATAATTTAATAAAAAAAAACTGTGACAATTATACAAAATTATCGAAAATATGCTATGTGTTCTTAAATAATTCAATACACATATTATACCTAAAAAAAAACTTTGAAATATAATCACAATTTCCAAACGAGGCAGTTAAATGGTCGTTTCCGTTTCATAATATAGCTCATAAACTTCTTTTATTGCATTTTTGTTTAACTTAAAACAAAGCCACCTCCAGAGTACTCCATTCTAGTAGGCTGATTGATAAATGCAAGCCAATCTGATGCATGTGTTGGTAATAAACCCATAGATTGACATTTGTATAATGCTAAAACAATATTAACGCAATTTCCAATGAAGAATATAAATTTTTGACCCCAAGCTTGTGTTCCTTCAATGGTTTTAAATGCTGTAAAATAAAAATTATATTAATATTTTAGACATATACGATATAAATATGAAGAAAACAATGTGATAAATAATCAAAATAGACACCGTACTTAATAATAAGTACAATATTAAATAAGTATATTATACCTATTATTATGGTCAAAGTAATCAAATGTATTCGGAATAATGTTTTAATACCTTTATATTTTATTTTATTGCTTTTTAAAACGAAGAAGGTACCTAAAAAATCAGACGTTTTATCAACACTAATAAGGGGTAAATCTGAGATATTAAGTATTACATTATGTTTGTATATTTCTACAATATATTTTTCTCTTAATAATATTTATTTTGAGTTATGAATTAATTTAAAAAATTTTAGTGTATACTGAATTTTTAATCTCAATTCCGGAAAACTGTATTGTTATGTATCACTGAATTGGATGTAAGTACATTCAAGCACTATAGAACCTCATTAAATCGGACTCTGTTAGACTGGTCAGTTGTTTAATAATACATATTATTATTTTATTATCAGATAAATAATCGGAATAACTAGTTATTTTGTATTTTGTAGGGCCTAATACTATGTTGCTTTATATCTTGTATTTCTTAAATCTATAATATACGGTTTTTTTAATGACTTATTATTGAATTAATTTTAAATATTGATTTAATTATTATTTACTCATTAATTTATATTGAACTTTTGTTTAAATATGTAACTTGGATCATTTCATAGGTTATTTTGTTTAATCCGGATAACCTAGAGCAGAGGTTCCCAACCTTTTTAATTGTGTGGACCACAAATTATGTAAGAAAAACTATGAGGCCAGCTTACCAAATATAAAGGTATAAAATATAATCACACACACAAATGAGACGATAGAAAAAAATATATAGTAGACGTGTATAAAATCATATAAAAGTCTTGATATTGATGTAAATTAAAATTTGCAGTCCCTTGGCTTAGACTCTCGACCAGCTTTCGCAGCCCAGTATCACATTGCTTGCTGCCTACAAGTGGGCCCAGCCCATGGGTTGGGAACCACTGACCTAGAGCCCCTCTACCCATATTAAATTAAGTTATACTGTATGCATAAAATGTTGTGTTATGTAATTTTATGTTTCATTATAACTAGAGCACGGAATTTTATGCACTAAAAGTATCAAAATATGCTATATAATATGCAGTCAAAATCATAAAAATATGTAAGAAAAAAAACTTTAATTGTGTAGTATGGTAAAAATATTAAACAGTTTTATATTCGATGATTATTTTTTGGCTAGTTTATACATTTTTACTAAAAATGATTTAAATTAAATTAAACAAAATATAGTTTATAATTTAATATTATTAAAATTAAAAGGTAGTCATTTAGTGCTCACAAAATGCTATATTAAATTTTCTGCTTTACAAGATATTATTTTATACATTTTTTTAAAATGTTTGCTTCAATATGCAATAATTTATGAACTTTTTTGCACAAATATGCCATAACCTTAAATATGCAGTAATTTGCAATTTCTTATTTCAAAAAGTACTAAGAAAGTTTACTTTTGACCCAACAAAGCACAAACTAGATCCAAATTGCTACCAGAAACTTCCCTCTAATTTGATGGTGGGTATATTTTTTTCTAATAGAGAGTAAAAATTGTTATTAGAAACAAAAATATAAAAACACATTATTGTAAAATCAATACATTCATTGCTCTGCACTGAATCTAAAATGAGCTCTTCTATATATTTTTCACTTAAGTAGCTAAACATAATCATGTTATATTTTTTGAGTTTACACATTTTCTATATTTTTGAAGAAATTAAATTACTTTATTTTATACACAACTAAAAACTACCTAGTATTTAGAAATTGTTTTTAATCTAATTAATTGTAAACTAGGTTTGTATATTTATTTGTAACATTTCATTTATTGTTTTAATAAAGATATTATATTTTAGTCAAACAAGAAATAATGGTTTTCAAATAAAATAAATATTTTGCAGTTGTAAATCATTAAGATTATTATTAAAAAATAAATAATTGTACTGTTAAGATGTGTTTTTAAAATGATAACGGTATGCTCTTAATCAAAAATATTCATACAGAGTAATAGCTTGTAAGAATCAATTTTGGAACACAATGATTTATGAATTTAAATTATTAAATGTAAGTATAAAAATACTAAGCTTTTACCTTATGTTAACTTCCATGAATATGATTTTTCATAATATTATGTATATTATTTAAATACTATTATTGAATAATAAATTAATTTTAATTGATAATTCATGCAAGATGGTTTCAATAATGTTTTTACTTATTTCATGTAAATTACATGCACCTAATTGATTTTGTAAAATTGTTATTTAAGTACAAAATATCCTATCTAATGAAATATTATGTAAATTTTAAATAACAATATTTGCAAGTGTTTGGTAATTATTATTTACCAATCGTATGGGTAGTTCTGAACTTATTATCTTTTATTGGAAAGTATAGCATACAGACTATGTAAATATATATTAAACATACATATTATAACCTAATTTTTTTTATTCAAGACTAGGTATATAGTACTTTTATCTATATCTATTTGACTGTCTCAATTGAAATATAGTAGTTAATAGAAATCAATAAAAAAGTTCTAATATTATTAACTTACTCGTTTGTAGTGTAAATAATGCTTTGACTGGTCTTACTATCAACATACCAACCATCATGATCGGAAAAATAGAAATCGAGTTTCCGGCCATATACATAATAAACAAGTTCATTGGCACCTAACAATGAAGAATATTAACAATTGAACATAAAATATAAAATTGATTAACTTTAGTACTTGTTTTAGTGGTCCTAATGCTAGATCCCAAGATTTTTTAATAATTAGTCTACTGGATTCACTGTCTCTTGTAAGTTCAGTACCATTTTGTCCAGCTAATTGACTATATCCTGGTGGACTTACATTGTCTGTCGATTTTTCATGTTTGTTTCTAAAAATTGTAAAGGCATTCAAACAGAATTACTATCAAATATGACTTTACATAATGTGATGAATACATAATGAAATGTCACGATAGTTTAATAAGATGTTATCTATGAAATATGCGATTAGAGATCAGATATTTACCTTGTAAAATCTAACGACCATTTAAATGTTTTACTTTTGACTGTAGTCATTTTGTACAAAAGGTAAATCACGTATCTGGAATTCTAGAAAAGAAAAAAAATGTTAATGGTTTTTCACAAATTTTTGACTTGGAGAATTATGAACGTTTCGATAACTATGCAACCCTGTGTAATAAATAAAATACTTTGGAATGTTTTTAAATCAGAAATACTAAGAAACTAGAAATACTAGATATACTTACAAATGAGAAGAAAGCGGTGGGCACAGCGAGATCAGTATTTCACGGAAATGAATAAATCGTGAGACTCCTACTACTACGATGATCATGTATATTGTATAATTTGTTTATTACTAGAGATAACAGATAACCGCTGATAGTGTTGTTTGGTCACCGCCCAAACAGCAGTATATATATATATATATACGTATCTTAGTTATATAGTCCGTGGTAGTGACCAAGACGGCAATACGTTTATAAAAAACGCAGAGGTTCCTTTAATAAATACCAGCAGAGTGCGCTCTTATAATTCGAAATTTTCAAGAAGAAAAATTCCATATTATGTATTGAAATTCCAAGTGGCTGATACGGGTCCGGGGTCAGTACGTATCGCTGATATACCTCACGCCTAACGTTTTGTATTATGCGACTTTTATCGACTATCGATACTATTTCTTCCTTGAAAATCTTGTATCGACAATCCAGATACTCCGTGCTTCAGTTTCCACAACAAAATGTAGGTAAAATTAATAATATTACGATAATAATAATATACTGTAACACTTACCATAATAATTTAAATAATTATAGATGTAACTGATTATCTGAATTGGTAATCTGGCAATCAGTCAAAAAGTCCGTTTTGAAAAAAGTTGAACAAAGAGTTCGGACTTATTTTTTTACTGTTGGACAAAAAATTCCAATATACAAAATATTCTACTTAGGGGGTTCCAACATAACAGGTTTTAAGGAGTAATATTTAGGAAATTCACACGACATAAGAATTTGGGCTATGCGGCTATGTCTATTGTCTATATGTGAGTATTAAATGGACATTAATGTGTAGGTAGTATTCCGAGAATCGCCTCCGGATGCAACTCTCTCACGCGTACACAAATGTCAATACTTCGCGAAAAATGAAATATATTCTCGACTAATATTCCTATAAAATCTACTAAAAGCGATAGTAAATTAAACATACTTCCATGAGTTCGATTGTGGTTGAATTTATAAGCTTCTAGACTATACTCGTTAGGAATTACTTTTTTGATTTAAAATCGAATGTTCTCATAATAAATACAAATGTAAAGCAATTATTTCGTGGGATTTTTGAAAAAAATCTTAATTTTAAGGTCTGAAAATTTTAAATCAACTTTCTAAAAAGCCTTTATATAATTATATAATTTAGTCAAAAAGTTCATACATGCATAGGCGCAAGTATTGGGTATTAGCACACTCTAAAAATGTATGTGTTAATGTATAAAAACTTCTCCTTACAACAACAAAAAAAAAAAAACCAAAAACTGTTTATCATCATACATCAGGGTATCAGAGTATAATGAATAAAACAATGAACTCGAAAATTGTCATTTTATCTAATTCAAATCTATTTAGAACATTAATCATTATTTCCCAATGTTTCTATTAAACCCGGTCGTTGTAGTCCGTTATATTATTATCAGTTATCACGTTCAGCAGCTACTCGGCACTACGACAATATACTATTAACTATATAGTATTTCGAGTATTCACTAATATTAACATTCCTGTGCCCACATCTAATTCGAACAAAAACCTAATTACGATATAGGTACGAATCACTTGTCAGTTGGTGTTCACTTATGAGTTCCAAGTTTCCGACAGCCTGTGTGATAGTGTATGCCGTATGCTATTCAGGTAATATATAGTATAATATCCTATACAGTGTGTAACAGATAGAATTGACTTTTGTTCTAATCAATAGTTATAATGTTTTATTATATACAATTTAAAGTCACTTGCACTACCCATATTATGCAAAAAAAATTTTAAATTAAAAATTAAAAATTTAAATGTGTTTGGATATATTCAAAATAGCCAATTTGTGAATCTGATTATAAGAAAAATGTTGATAGTAAAAACATTTATCTAAGTCAAGTAGTTTAAATTTTAAATTTTGGAAATATCAATATTTTTTTGATTAAATGAATTTGGAATGTAGAAGTTATTATAATAACTTTTTTCAAAATATTTTTTTTGGGAATTTACTAACATGAGTATATTAATTCTTAAATTATTTACTAATCATACAATATTAACAATTTTTGTCAAACCTTTAAGTAGCGTCATTTTTTTTTGTTTTTTGTTAAGTCTTTCTGTTCACCTTGTATACTAATATTTATTTGTCATATTTTCGAATAAAAATATAAAAAAAGGTGCTCTGCTGTACAGAAGGTTACAAGTGGGTCACTGTATAATGGATGGTATTAAATTTGAATTCAATGATATCACTGTATAAGAAAAACGATTCGGAGCGGAGACTGTATGTCAGTCTAAGTATAAGACATATTAATATATACTTATCTATGGTATTAAAAAAATTGACCTATAATATTTACCTATAATAAATTCCAAATTATTCATATCAGTAAGTACTTTTAACGCGTTATACATCAACAACAAACCCTGATACATTCATAGATATATAATAGTGTACTTTAGAAGTTTCAAGTTTCCACGAATAATATAATACAATCACAACAAAATAACTAAAATAGTTATTCTAGGTTTCTTATTATGTAATTTCGTCCAAATTTGAACTTAAAATGACTATAAAAATAAACTGTCCTTCTGTATTTTTTAGAATTTTGGTAACAGAATTAACTTCTTACGTGGAATCTTATTTTAAATTTTCAATCCATAGATATAGAAGTTGAACATTTTATAGAATTTAACTACAAATTAATTATTCAATTTTAAATTTGATAAATTTTTTCAAAATTCAATCTTTAAATGCTTATAAAAAAAAATTGTGCATATGTATTTTTAATATTTTTCAACTGATGTTGTAACAACATATCAGGAGCCTTGTATTAATTATTTTTCTTGGCGCTTTTGAAAATTACTGGGAATTTGAAATTTAGACCTTCCCAATGCTATGCACCAACGATATTCACTTTCCAATCGAACAAGATATTGAAGTTGAAAATCGAAGCATTATTTCAACTACTTATCGTGTAAACAGACATAAAAAAAATTTAAAAAACAATTTAAAATTAAAAAAAAAAACACATCATTGTAAAATCAATACATTCATCGTTCCACTCAGAATCTAAAAGTTGTTTTCAATTTTTAATAAATTAAAATTGACTTCGTATTGTTTTCATTTTTATAAAATGTACCTTATACACTATAAGTATTCAATGTTAAATTGTCATAAAACATTTTTGCTCAAAAAAGTCATAAACGCCTCATAGTTATAATTTAATTTAAATGCCCAGAAAATGCGGAGCTTAAGCACCCTCAGTATTGATTTTACAATGATGTGTATTTTTTTATTTTTTTTTTTATTTTTAATTTTTAATTTTATTTGTGCCTGTATACACTATAAGTAGTCGAAAAAATGTTTCGATTTTCAACTTCAGTATCTTGTTCGATTGGAAAGTGAATATCGTTGTTACATTGGGGTGGTCAAAATTTAAAATTCACATTAGTTTTCAAAAGCGCCAAGAAAAACAAAAGAAAAATTAAGGAAAAACGCGAATTTTTACGCAAAATTTTAATTGGTTTTTGGTGTAACTTTAAAACAAATTACTGTAGATACATGAACTTTTCACTGGTTGATTATATTTGCATTTTCTATACACGATAACCATTTTCAAAATATTTTGATTTATTTTGAACTTTTTAGGAACATTTTCATTTTCCATTTTTTTTTAGGTTTTTTTTTTAAAAATATCAATAAAATTTTATTTATTGGTTAAAAAAGCTTGAACATTTAATAGAGGCTCCTAGTATATTGTTTCAAAGGCAGATGAAAAATGTTAAAAATCCTTAGTCACAGTTTTTTCTTAAGCATTTAAAGTTCAAAAAGGTGCTCTGCTGTACAGTAGGTTACAAGTGGGTCACTGTATAATGGATGGTATTAAATTTGAATTCAATGATATCATTGTATCAGAAAAACTATTCTGAGCGAAAACGGTTAGTCAGCCTATTATATTTGCCTAAGTATATTTGATGATACTAAGGTGACTAAAGTAATTTATATATAACCTATTTACGTAGAATCTTGTTTTAAATTTTCTATCATTATCTATAAAAGTAGAACATTTTATAAATTTTTAACTATAAAATTATTATTAAATTTTAAACGTGATAAATGTTGTCAAAATTTGAACTTTAAATGCTTATAAAAAAAAATTGTGAATATATATTTTTAATATTTTTCAAGTGTTACTGTAACATTATATCAGGAACTTTGCATTAAATTTTCACGCATTTTCACCCAACAAATTAGTTGTAATTCAAATTGGTTTTTGAATGACAACAAAATAAGGAAATCGCTATATGAGAAATCGAGTGAATATCGAATGTTGTAAAAATTTGAATTTCAAACGCTCATAAAAATTTAATTTGACGTTCTTATAGACATTTTTTTTTTGATAAAGGTAGACAATCTTATAAGGAATCGTGTATTAAATTTCAAAATCTTAGATTTAAAGAGAAAAATTTTTACGAATTCTTAACTTAAAATAATTTGCTAATTTTCGTGATTATTGTGTCTGTCATCACGTTTTAGGACAGTAAAAGTGCTTGGATTTTCTTCAACAGTAGCTTTTCTGATAGGAAAGTGATTCTAGTTAGTACTTGTGGGGTCAAAAGTGAAAATTTCAAAGTAGATTTCAAAAAATAAATAAAAAATAAGGAAAAACGGGAATTTTTACATTAAAATCTGTTTTCGAAAAAATCGATTATGGTTTTTGGTGCAACTCTTAAACAAATGACCGTAGGTACATACAATTTTGACTGAATGTTTATATTAGCATTTTATATACACGAGAACATTTTCAAAAT